ACTCATCAAGGTGAAATGAAACACGTCGAGGAACTTGATCGACGTCGATAAAGAAGATTTTTCTAAATGCCTACGCTGCCGATGATTCGTTTTTATATTGACAGCTGTGTCGATTTATATTGGATATTGTACCAAATGACATACTCCACCTGTCGTTTTCGTACAATAAATATCAAGAAATCGAAGTAAAACTCGAGAAATCCTCTGGATTCATGCTTTCTGGGGCCCTAATTGACTGCAGAGGGACACCCTGCGCCATCTATGATTTCCAGGTCAATTAAATTTTCACTCCAAGACCTCGTATTCCCATCGTTTTAGCATAGAAACGCATACAACACTTTTTTGCCTTTATCCCGTTCAAATGCGAGTTTANCGCATACAACACTTTTTTTGCCTTTATCCCGTTCAAATGCGAGTTTATCGATTACCAGAGTGTTCTAAATTGTCGTAAAATTGTCCTGACCCTTTCGTTTCTCATATCAGAGCCTTCGATAATTGTATATCGATCGAAATATGATAGCTCGACGCCATTTTGGTTTTGGTCTGGGCTCAGTTAAACAATTTTTTCCAAAAATCCAAATTTTGAATGGGTCAGGGCAATTCTTAGATGATCAGGAGTGATGTGTCAAAGTTTCGGACAGTTTGGTCTAATACCCTTTAAAAAAAGTGTTGTATTCGAATCGAGTGATTTGAAGGGGGTTAAACTTCACCTTAAGGTGGTATGAAAGGGTTATTCTATACATCAGAACATTGAAGTATTTAGAAAACTTATCACCAAACTGGGTGCACCGAATCATTTGAAAATTTGACACGTGGTTATGAAGGCCTTAAGGAAGAGCGCGATGCTCATGAAATTTCATTTTGTTGCTGTTAAAGCCATTAGATATATTGTATAACATTATATCACAGACGCCTTATCAGGACGACAATGTTCATGCATGCGTGACATGAAGTAGGGACTGCCTTGTTCATACATAACGTCTTGTCAGGATTATCAAATTCAATCCTGGCTATATGTCATAAACATGGAACTATTCCTCTCAATAATGCGAGAGCTAGATCTTAGCATTGGAAAAGGTGATAACAATGAATAACGATAAGAGCACGACTTACATAAATGGGGAATTACCGCAAGAATTAGAGCATACTAGAAAATTCAAAATCATATTGTTTATTCTTAAAAATGAAGAAAATTCTTATTATCTTCCATAAATTAATTTTGTAATTCCCTTAAAATGAATAGCTACTAATTAAAGCTGCAACAAAGGGATTTTTCCCGGTGGGAAATATATCCCAGCGGTGGAGGAAATATTCCCCTAGACTATTTATCGATGTCATAAGTATGGCGATGTCAATTTTAATATCTTTTTTATGCGCCATGTTAAATAACGCCCACGATACGTTGATTTAATGTTGAATAGACACATCGCGATTTGATTTATGAAAATCCCCCCTGTGTACCGTGTCAACATTTTGTGACAATATATTGTCGAAATCGTGGATAGAACGATATCGTTGCTGATTTTGCCATTTCGACATTGCCATTAACATTTCGTTACATGTAACGATTGCAGTCAATTTAGTTTCGGACTCCCGATATCTGTCAAAAATCACGAGGCATGCCGGAAAAAGATCGAGATCGGGCATTACTCAACCAGCTCTCTTGGTGGTTAATGAATCTAGAGAAGGCATTATCGGGTCGCCAGGGGAGGGAAGGAGGAAGATAGATCTATCGAGGGAGAAAGAAGGAGGGTGAGGAGAGAAAGAGCGAGAAACATTACTTAATCGAAAGTGAACCACTGCTAGGCTTGGCCGAGCAATTGGGTCGAGAGTGGCTCCAGTGTTTGCTCGCTTACTTGCTTACTCGTATATTCACTTACTCGCCGATTTGCTTCTGTGAGCAGGGAACGAGAAAGCCGCCCAAAAGCTGCCGGAAAACTCGCTTTGTTTCGGTTTAGTCGTTGGTAGTTGCGACGGCCGAAATCAATCCCTGGAAGTCGCTTTAAGGTGATACGAAAGTGGAAGGGCCAATTGTTCATGGAACTTTTCTCTGTACTGGATGCACCGGATTGTTTGACAATTTACCTCGTGAATGTGGAGACCCTGAAGAAGGCTTTGAGTACCATGAAATTTCATTTCCTCTATTAATATTGTTTTAATTGTTTATCAAAAATGATATTACTTTAAGGTGATGTGGAATGGCGCTTGAGGGGCCAATTGTTTACGAAACTTCTCTGTACTGAAGGTACCGAGTCCTTTGAAACCTTACCTCGTGTATGTGGAGGCCCGAAAGAAACCCTTGACCCCCATGAAATTTAATTTTCCTTGTTAGTACCGCTGTAAAGAATGTTTCAATTGTTTATCAAACATGAAATTATTTGAAAGTGACGTGAAGGGTTGTCTATGAAACTTTCCTCTGAATTAGGTGTTCCAAATCATTTGGAATTTTACCTTGTGAATATAAAGGCCCTAAGGAAGGTCATAGTAACCATGACATGTCTTTTTTTTATTAATTTGTTTCTAAACATTTTTTTATCTTTTATGAGGAATGAAATTTCATGAGTGTCAAGACATGTTTTGGGGGCTCTATATTCAACTGATAAAATGTCAAACGATTCAGTACACCCGATTCAAAGAAAAGTATGATAAACGATTAAATTCTCAGATGCCTCTCTCACATCATCTTAAGATTTGGAGGTTAAGTGACGCTCATAGATATGTCCTGATCATACTTGTAAAACGGATTACTTCGATGTCGAAATCTCATTTCTTCAATTCTTAAAACCCTTGTATTATAGACGAATAAGAATACAGCGGGGATTGACACACTAAAGTATATTAATTATCAATTGTTCCGTATATTATTCTTGAATGGAAGTGCAGTTGAAGTCGCTACTGCAATCCAAGCCTATTTCACGCTCAATTTACTTACAATAATGAAAATGTTAAGAAGTTTAATACCCAGAATAACATAAAGTGGTCATCGTGAAATTTCACATGAAATTTACAAATACAGGATTGTTAGCGTGATAAAAAATTAATGAATTAAAAGTGATGAAATTTATATATGCCCTAAGAATACAAACAGGCAAGGAGTCAAACAGCTGTTTCTTATTTTTCATGCGAAGCATTAGTTTAAATTAATGAAGCGTGCAGCAAAAAGGAATAGTATCCGAAATTGTATAATGATTTACATTTTCGGTTTATGTAAATTATTGGAATTTTTTATCGACACTCAGCAAGGAAGTAAAATGCTTGAGATGGATCTGGTTGCTACCGGATCCTCTCCTGAGGTTCTTTACACATATTTTGAAGGTACAATGCGAGACTGGCTTGAGGCCAAACCAGAAAGAGGAAAAATATGAGAGTATGGAAATTTAAAGGTAGGATAAATTGTATCGAAAGAAGGAAGAGAGCACGGAAGTCGAAGACGTGGACATAGACCTTGGCCTTCGTTTCCGAGACGACGTTGCAACTGTCGCCTGCAGCAAATCGCAGGTGCATGAGCAAGACTTCGTAATCAGGATATATGTACCTATTGGTACATGTGAAAGCCGCATAATTAATTCACACGCTCTTCAACGTTTATTTCCCCTCCAGCCGAAAAATACAATAGAAATCTCGGTGCGTCACAACCATCAGAAAAAGAGGAACTAAGTTAAAAAGAATTACCATACGTCACTCATTATTCTTAATTACGTTTTCGCGGAATATCCTCGCACATTAGCAACAAAATGCTCTTGGGATAATTATTTTCACGTGCCATTTTTATTATTTTTATTTCCCGCCAAATGTCAAGAATTAACTGAGATAATGATGCATTAACGCCACCGCAAATTGTACCGATACTAACATAAAGATGACTGTCGATGGTAACAAATTGGAAGAAATGAATTTGTGAAACTTGTATTGGTAGTAAAATAGACGAATGTCAATGGTAACCAACTGTAAAGGAAAGGGAAAAATATAACACGGGACATTTACATGTAGTACCGCGCCGTAAGAAGTATCGCTCGAAAATTGATTAAATAATTTCCGATAATTTGTAGAATTGATTTTCTATTTCTGGAATATCTTATGGTGATCAGAGTTCTTTAAAAATAATAAAAAATAAAAAGCGAAAGTGTCTTGAACGGTCTGGCGCAACGTCTCTTCGGTGCTATGACGGCGTGATGGGCATGTGAATTTTGATGAACAAACTCCGGGAATGGGAATTGTTCCGCAAAAATAAGTGAAATTCCTATCACGTATCTAGTTTCGAGAGGATGCGAGTGTTAGTCGGTCTTGCCAAGTTCCGATACATTGAAAGGCACCAGACATTTGTGATTGAACGCTTCCCATGCAGAGGAGTATGCCATTGGCTTCTCCCTCAGCGTTTAATGTCGAATCGGCTGCCAAATGCACTCAATTGCCAACTGGGTTTCATTGTTCCTCGAGTGGATGATTTCCACAAAGCGGAGAAAAATGTCAAATGTGTTTTCTTTGACTTTTTCTATTACACTTATGCATAGTTTGGCACTGTACATTACTTTAGCTCTGACCACGGAACACTTTCGACATATGGGCGAAATTAATCAACACGTGCAGGCAACATTGGACCAAACGTCGGACACCTTTAGGCGCCTTTAATAGAAAAAGGATCAAAATTCTATTCGACCAATAGGGACTTTGTCAATAATCTGTTCCATGTGCCTGGTAAATGAACAACGTACTCAATCAACTTGACGCTAACTAATATAATTATTAATGTGATGGATGGTGAATATATATCAAGATATAAAATACATTTGTGCGATCAAATGTGATTTATAAACCAGAGACAAAGAAACGTCCATCCATCGTTCATCAACGCATTCTCAGATATAGTTTAGAGAAATATGAATGTTTCCCTTTCTTCACGTAGAATGTATACAAGTAAGCTATTACTTATATCATATTTTTTTTATTTAATCATTAAAACTAAATTATTATCTTTATAGTATAAGTGATTCATTTTCTGTACTAACGCTCATACCACGTCTTTCCACCGGTTCTCGTCCGATCACCGAAGTTAAGCGACGTTGGGCGCGGTCAGTACTTGGATGGGTGACCGCTTGGGAACACCGCGTAGCGTCGGTCCATCTTTTCGTTTTTGCACCACGCGATGATGATCGATTTCCCCCATCTACGCGACGACGCGCCGCGTTCTGTGAGGAATAGAACGTGTTCAATGATAAAGAACCGTTCCCTCTGCAATGCAACGAACGGGTTTATAAAAACATCGGTGGCATTTTGTTGAGTTACGTGAAAGATGGATGATTTTTTAATTATTGACATCACTCTCAGATAACATGACAATTTTTCTGGTTAGACATTGATGATGACATTTTTAGGTTAAATATTTCGTTGANTGACATCCTTCATAGTTTTATTACATACGTGTGTACTAAATTAATAAAACAACTTATATATTTCATTCAATGTTATGTTATAAATAATAAAACAAATTAAAATTAATTTTTTTAATTTAAAAAAACGAAAGAAAAATTGTTTAAATAAGAACCATGTTATAAAATTACTATACCATGTCTGAACAAAGCTTGCATTAAAAGTGTTATAAAATTCACAAGATTTTTTTAACAGTGTAACGTTCATACCACGTCCTTACACCGGATCGAAGCCAACGATAGACCACGACAATGTTGATCCCGTATAAAAGTTTTTGTATTGACAAGTTCTCCAGCATTAGGGCCAAAAAACAAAGTCCTTGTCCGAGCCAGAAAGGGGTAACGTCCATCGTTGGAGGCAGAAAGACGGATACAGGGAGGTATGGCATTTGGAAAAGCAGATCGTTAAAGGTTACCTCTATCGAAGTTACTCTCTATTGGAGGAACAAAAGGAGATCATAAGGATCGATGTCCCGAAGGAGGACACGATTCGCAAGAAGGTCCCGATTCCATCCATTCCCCGATCTAGATCGAGCGAACAAATCCGTCGTGCCCAGGCAGCTTCGGATGTCGACCCGAGATTGATTTATGGAACAATTAAGATTCTCTCACCATATTGCCACGAGCGATGCACGATTTATTCGAGCCAGGCGATAAGATCCTTTTTCCCATCGCCAGAATGGGCTCGGAATTTTCGCAACGAAGTTCAAGAGAATTCCTCTCCTTTTGAAGAAGTGCCGATCATCGATTAGGGGGACTTCCTTGGAGACTGGAGAAAATACCATTTGTTGACCGTTGTCTTCTTCCATTCACATTTTTAAGACGTTGCATTTTAGAATTCGCGTAACAATTTTTGATAAGATGCTTTGGTGAGGTTTCTTTGACTTACTTTAATAGTTGTCAATAATGGATACTATAAGATAACTCGAAAGCTATGCGATCGCTGAAAAGGAACGCTTTTCACGGTGAATTTGCATTATGTATAAATATAATTTATGCACTTGCTTTTTATTAAAACAGAAGTTTGGATAAAGTGACTTTAGATATGGGTACTTTGTTGAAAAACAACGGAAACACCATTTATTGACCAACATCTTGCATCTCGACTTTCAATAAAGAAATTTTTTATGAGAATGAGTCATTTGGCATTTCATTATCGATATTATAATTATCAATTTGCTAATGATATATTAAGAGCAGTGAATGATTTAACGTTTGAAGAAAAAAAGTCTTTTCAATAATTTCCACCTCGCGTAAAGAGTTTCACGTTTTGCCCTTTTGCAATTTACATTTTTCTGTCGATGAAGTGGTTTTAATATAAACAATGATAATATAACATTTTATATATCGCGTATTATTCGTTACGTTACGTTACATTTCCATGAAAAATGCAATGATAAAAATTTTCATAGGAAGATAACTTAATCATTTATTCTGAACTCTTCGAAAAGGGAAGGAAGTTTCTGTCAATCGAGAATGTTTAACTTGTCTCTTTGATTTGTTGCAACTTTGTAAGATCCCCAGAGTTGGCCGTTGCTCTCACCAGGAGGACCCACGATCGATATTGAGCAAACTGACAAATTGACAAATAGATGGGATCGAAGTATCACGAAGCAGTAAATGGTTTATAGGATTTATTGTGCCGTACATCGCAGCAACTATCCCTTAAGATGACGTGAAATTACAGGTGCCGCCTACAACAAAGAGTAACGAATTTCACTCGACTTTTATTTATGCCGTAATCAGAGCGCCACGCTACCGATGTATGTCAAGAAATTCCCATTAACAATTTTTGTATCGCGCAAACTTCGAAAAGTCAAACTCACACGCTCCTATAATCGCAATTCGAAGGAAAAAACGAGATACGACGAATAACCTGGACGGAAGAAAATTAGTTTATCCTCTTTAGAATAACAGAAAAGTGACAAAAACCTGATGTCTGAATAAAACATCCGTCAGAAGTATTATAAAATTATTGTATCTTTTTTAACAATTTTGAGTACGTGGCAGACCTATTTTCCATAAAGTATCACCTATTTTTCACTAAGGATCAAACATGGAGATCGACAAATGACGAACAGTAGTGCACAGTTTCTAGTCGAAGTTCTGGCGCAATAGCGGGCACCATCCAGGTAATAGCTGTCACTTTAATAATTATTAAATCCGCAAAGTGTTGCATCAAGTCGATGCCGCCATAATAGAACGAGTCACGAATTGACTGCCAGCCTTACGGAATAATTTCCTTCGCGTCTCCTATCACTCTTTTATCGTCAATTCGATGATCTTATCAGAAGCGCTCATCGAATTCTGAAACTGGCGACATTTTTTTCTCGGAAAAATCGGATTAACAATTACCTCTAATGATGTCTGATGTCCATCTAAGATTACGATCCATACCTTATAAAATGATAATCTCCACACTTGTACCACAACGTTTATAATTTTTTTAAACACGCATTTAAGTTCATGTGAAGGGGCGTCGAAGAGCTTTTGTTTATGAAACTTTTCTCCGAATTGGGTTCACCGAATGTGGGGATTATGAGGGAGGTACTGAAATTCATGAAATTTCGATTTAAAAAAAATGGTTTATAGGTTATTTTAAATTTTACAAAAGAAATGAAATTTCATGGATGTCAGAACCTTCTTTATAAACCCCACCACATTCACGTTGAAAAATTTGAAACAATTCGGTACACCCAGTTCAGCGAAAAGTTTCATGAACCTGACTCCTCGGAAGCCACTTTTACATCCCCTTAATAATTTTTCATAAATACTTGGTTATATTCAAGGAAGAAAAATGGTTTATAAGTGATGGCTGCAGTTCTGCCATCTTTCTTCTCGCTATCTTATTGGTTAAGTTCATGCAGCAATTTTCTCAGAATGCCATACATTAATATCTATCTTGTATCTGAATTTGACATAAAGTGGAATTGTGAAAAATAAATGTGAAGCGAAAAATAAAAATCGCTCATTATCGAAAACATGATTTTGGATAGGATCACGACTCAGGGCGTGACTCGAACGGATCGTCCCGTGAAAGTCACAATTAAGGCATCTTTTTGGTTAAGTTCATGCATAAATTTTCTCAGAATGTCGTACATTAATATCTATCTTGTACCTGAATTTGACATGAAGTGGAATTGTGCAAAATAAATGTAAAGCGAAAAATAAAAATCGATCATTATTGGAAAACATGATTTTGGATAGGATCACGACTCAGGGCGTGACTCGAACGGATTGTCCCGTGAAAGTCTCAATTAAGGCATCTAGATATTAATAAACGATATCTCGGTGCAGGTAATGTGCACTCTGCACACGAATGCGTACACGCATGCACTTGTACTTAACGGTGCACAAAGTGCAAGAGTAAGCTGGTAATTAAAACGCGCTACGAGTCGATATTTCAAAGAGATCGATTAAAATCTCAATGGCCAATACCTCAATCTTCCGGTGTCATTTCTCATACATTTTTGCGATCCATTTTCTACCATGTTATTGAGCTGAAATTATTTTAATGTGAGAGAAATTTCCGGCATTTCACCAAAAACAGTCATTACTCACTCCACATAAAAATCTAAATTAATAAAACGAACATTGTTATTATGCGTAAGAATTATTAATATATAAAAACATTGCGAAAATATTAACAAATACAGAATATAATTATTCGGTATCGGACTCATGTTGTTAAAGTCGTGTTATTGGTGTGTATATTAAATTTCCTTTCCAGTTAAAAAAAAAAAAAACGTGATGCGAGGAAATGGGAAGAACCGAAAATTAAAAATCCAATTTCAGCAATCAGTTATCAGTTTAAGACCCTCGAAGAATATTTCGATGTACTCGAATTTTCAATTCGTTTGCTTTTAGGAATCCCTTCCTAGTGATGGCACTTCACTTGTAATGTTGCACTTGTTGCGGGGCCATGAAGGAAAATGTCCTGCAATGACGCAATTGAAAGAATTTAATTACTAGCGAGTCCCAGGGTTTAGAGCGCGTTTTTAAATTACTAATTATCTTTATGCTTGCGCCGCTGTAAAATCTGCCTGCCTTTAACATGCGTGCCATTACACGCGTAACTCCTTAACGAGAAGTAAAAATATCTCTAATGGGTCTAACAATGCTCGGCTGCACCTCGAAAAATTCCATTGCTCCAGAATCGTTCCTCTGATACTTTTCAAATTGCATTTTAAGCCCAGAATTGCCAATACCGAATATAAACTACACGGCAAGGGACAATATCCACATCCTGCGACTACTAGGGAAAAAAGTAATTAATTGCAACGTTTTCAAAGCGAAGTAAAATTTCAATAATTATTTGTAACGCTTCTAGAATGAAGGAAAGGTTTAGTAATTAATTGCAACCTTTTTTAAAATGAAGGCAAATTTTAGAACATGATGGGATAGAAAATGAAACATACCGTGCGGTCATACTGTCTATTTTACTTTGCTAAAATTACTACTATATTGTAAGATATACGGTGATTCCGTATCTGCATTTGCTTCATTGTTCCGGTAATCCTAAATAATTTTGTTGCGCGTTTACCTTGCAACATTATTTTTTTAAACAGTCTCTGGAGACGTCGTTGTGTCTTCGGTTCATTTCTGGACAGCCTGCCGATGAAATTCGTTTAAGATAAACGCGTTATCGGGGATAATTTTAACAAGCGCTTTTCTTAACGACCATTTCAATTA